TGGTACATTTTGTTTTGTGTTCTGTTTCTACTGACAAACTTGAATAGCCAGAGGAAGGTCCTTGCTAGTTTTCTCAGGAGAACAGCTCTACCGAAGACATTATTGAGAAATATTCTCACTTAAGCTTTGCCCATAAAAATGTGCTTTTTCAGGGAATTGTCTCTCACCCACAGAACCAACCACGTGTTCACACAAAAGCAACTGAACACTGTGGTTTAGGATGATGTTCCTTCATCCTCAAGTGGCTTGTCCTATACTAGGTAAAGCAAAATGTTTATTGTGGCTTAATCCAAATGACAGGTGCAAAATGCTGTGTGACATGGTGTGAAGGCACTGCTGCTTCTCCTCCATTTCCCCTCAAGACATTCAAACAGTTAAGGTAAAACTTCGCTTTCTCCTAGCCTTTGGCTTTTCTAAAGGTGCACACAAGTACATAGACACAATCCTATTGCTTTCTGACAGAAACCCAGGAGAATTCCAATCCAAAACCAACTTACTGTTCCACTAGCAGACACCTTTGAAAGCACATCAGATCACATTACATGAATGCATTTGGAGATAATCCCTAAATTGCTGGGATTTAGGTGAAGGGTGTGGGAAGTCTTACACTTTGGCTGCATCTTCAACACAGATTTTTCTCCTCTTCACTCTGCTATTTTCCTTATTAAGTCCCATCACTGCTGGGAAAATTCTCCTTTTGCTGTTCATAAGCTCTGGAGGACCTGTCCAACATTTAGGATCTATAGACTTCTTGTGAAAACCAAAAGCAAGATTTTCAGTAGCTTTTAGGCAATGCTAGTGGTTTTCTAGTGAGGTCTTCAAACCAGAGCTGTGCACCCAGGCTTTCAGAGATAAACTGCAAGGCAGAAAAATAGAGCCTCAGCTTCTCTTCAGTATATAAAAAACTTTTTAGAGAAGCCAAGTAGGATAAGACAGGCAATGAGCTGAAACACTGAAAGACTACCCGGGCATCCCTCATGCTGCCAGGCAGGCTTGCCTTATAGTGATGGTATCCAATAGCAGCAGCACACATGACTCTACCACGTTTCTCATCAAGACTGATTTTGTCTCATCCCTCCTTCCTTTGAGAGCAGGGGAAGAGATAAGCTGTATGGTTGGCACCAAACACAGGCTGCTTCTCCAGTACCTGCGGCAGATCCCAAGACCCAGACAGCTCACGAGGCCACTGGGGAGGCTCTGACCTCCTCCCACAAAGATGTCAGCCAAATCCCATCTAGCCCAAGGTTGTTCTGTAAATAAACCCCCGCCTTTCACCTCAGCTAGTCACAGGCACCAGCCCCAGCCAAAATCAATAGATGAGAAGCAATGTGTCATTTCCAGGCCACACTGGTTGGGTTGTGATGAGTCAAAAAACACTACAGGAAACACAGATGCAGTGAGATCACCTCCTTCTCCGGAGCCTTCCTATCTCTAAAGTTTTGCCTGATCGTCCTCAAAATTTCCATGTGTGCACACAAAAACATCTCGTGTGCCACACGGTCGTGCCTGTTACACTGCAGGTGCATTGCGTGACGCTTGGGAGGGCCAAGGGAGCCAGGCACAAGCAGCAGGAGGTTGAGTTCACGGTGAGCTGCAGGCAGGCTGGTGTCTCCCCGTAGGAAATTTTTCTTCAATTATTTCAAATACCTCCCACTCGCACACAAAGCCCATGTTTTGTAATAAAAACAAGGAGAAAATCTCATCCAAAGGAATTTTACCTATTTCCCTCTCTACTTATTCCACTGAAGTTATCTTTTTTTAAAAAAAACAACCCCCCCCAAACTGGTCACCAGAACAACAAAGTAGCCAAGAAGCTAATTTAATAACCTCATTCTTCAAAATCCACCCTGCCCTTCATGCTTGTAGGTTTCAACAACACTCCTAAGTTACCCAGTATCTTCTGATTTTTTTACAGGTTTCACTTAATTTCTATCTTCATACAGACAATGCTTTTCCTTGGGAGAGATGCACAAAATGCTGCAAGTTTTCCAGTAGCTGGGATTTTCCCTGCAAACTGAGGCAGGTGTCACCCTATTCAGTTAGAGAGGCAAAGCTGCTGCAAGTTACTCATTATAGTACAGAAAGGAGCAGGAGGCCATCAGAGACAAGAATGGGGACACCTCCCCACCCCACCGAAAAAAAGAGAAAGGTTGCTTGGGATCCATGTGCCCAGATGAAGCTGCAGTGGATTAATAAGCTACCACGTCCCAGCCAAGCCACAGTAACTCATCATGCGCAGGCTGTCCTAACAGCCTAGTGCCATTGAGCTTTAAGCAGAAATACCACGTCCTAAGGCCCTAATCCCTTAGCTCACAGCAGCACAGCCAGCCGTGGGCTAAAAGCCACGTTAAACTTGCTGGAGGAGAAGCATTTGCTGCAATGCTTTGCTGAACAAGGATGTGCGACTGTGCTCGGGCTTTAGCTACACTTACAAACTCCTGTACATCTTGGCTCTGGGTTTCTTTGCCACATGGCAGCTGGTTACATCCAAGACTTTGAATTCCTGGAAGAGAAAGTGACTGTAGAAACTCAGCCATGCAGCATATGCTCCATCTAGCGTTTGTTCACTAATATTCCATTTCCTTAGGTGGTTTGTTTTGTTGTTAACACATAGTTCCATCTTTTCTGTAGCTCGTTCGTCTATATACGATCATTATTGAAAATATTAACATTCTGCTTGTTTCAGCTACACAGTTTTGATGTCGTCTCCACGGACACCTTCAGTAATGATGATACGCTAATTTCCACGTAGAGATTAGATCTCACAGGGCAGAATGAAGGGAAAATATTTTTAAAGAGCAACAAGCATTTCTCCTTGTGCTTTGCTAATGCCAAATGAATGGGAAACTTCAAGCAGGCATAAAACATAAAAACTAGAGGATCCACAATATCACCACCTTCAGCACAGCATGAAGAGGTTTAGGTTGGATATTAGGAAGAGATTTTTTGTGGAAAGAGTAGTCAGGCATTGGAATGGGCTGCCCAGGGAGGTGGTGGATTCACCATCCCTGGAGGTTTTCAAGATGAGACTGGATGTGGCACTTAGTGCCACGTCTAGGAACGATGGCAGGGTTGGACTCAATGATCTGTGAGGTCTCTTCCAACCTGGTTGATTCTATGATTCTATGAAAGCAGGAAGAGAAGCAGCTTCTGTGGGACAGTTGATACCAGCCCCCATGGTGCTCAAGCCAAGCTGTACAGTGGCGAGTGGGGGAAACGCAAGTCATGACTCTGGCACTCGATGCCTGCAGTGCCACTGACCCACTCCCTGAGCTCAGCGAGTTGCACAGCTGCCCTCCAGCCCACTCACACCCTCTGCCCACCAGGCACAAGTACCTCGTGGACATGGTGCAAAGTCCCAACCTCGCACACCCTTTTGAGCCCCACTGTTCACTGTGCAGCGCCAGAGGAGAAAGCGGAGCCGCCTGCTGCCCCCTCCTCCATAAACACGCTTCCTCCTGCAACCCCACCTACCTCTCACACTTTCCCCTCTCTTGGCAATCCCTTACCTGCCCGAAGACAGGTCTCTCTGTAGGGCCCCTGTGAGGACACATCCTAGCCCACATCGGGTTGCGTTGTCCCCAAAGCAAGGGGCTCCTCCTGCATGCTGCAGAATCACCCTGTGCAGGGGGAACAGCAGCTGCAGCCCCACGAGCAGCTGGACTCGGGCAGAGACAGCCAGAGCTGGAGCAGACATGGAGGGCACAGTGCTGAGCCCCTTTGCCACAGGTCAAGGTGCTTTTTTGTCCTTGATGTTGAGCCAGGCTGCTGGAGAACAAGAAAATGAGCAGGTGGCACAAAGCCTCCTTGGGCCACCCTCATCACACCAGGGCACAGCAGCTGCTAGGAGCAAGTCCCAAGGAGCAGTTTGGCAAAGCTGTGCAGCATAAGTGTGTGGTGAGGGCTTTTCCAGGTGCACAGGTTGGGTGCAAGGCATATTTGCATGCTGGAAAAGCAGGGAAAATGGAGACAGCCATCAAGCCTGGCAATTGCCATGTGCATTTGAAAAGGGCAGGACTAGCCTACCTTGAGGCAAAATACTCCAGCACCTGGAGAGTCTCATTGTACCACACCCTGTCCCCAGTTTGCACTCATTTAGGGAGTTCACAGTTCCTGATTTTCTGCTCACCTGCTGGTAATGCCCTTACTGCAGAAAGGAAAGCCAACAGCAGATGGGAGAAGTCCCAAGCTTATATTTCTACAACAAAGTAAAAGAAAAAAGCCGAACCCTGTTCTGTTGTGTAAGCAGGACTGGTAAGGCTCTGGGATGGGGTGCCTGGTGACAGGGTCTGCAGTGGGGGAGACCTTGAGAAAATAGTTTAACATCCCCAGAGAAAGGCTTGGGTTGGCTGATCCTGCCTAGAGCAGCGACGGCCCGGGTAGCCCCTAGGCGTCCCACTTCTTCTGGGTGGAGGCTGATAGGATCCCGGCTCAGCTTAACAGGAGAGCTAGTAAGGAGCTGCGGTGAAACAGTCAGCCCTTGGACCCTGCAGCCACGGGGCACAATGCTAGGCACAGATTTAAGCTGCAGAAGCTGAGCTTTCATTGCTGTGGAAAGCAGAAGGGACACTGACAATTTAGCTGCCTTGGGCAGAAAGTGTTTTAGGGATCATGCGCTGCCTGCTCTTCCCCTGTGCCAGAAGTTGCAGCAGAGCTCCCCAAACCTGTGCTGTGGCAGTGATGCAAGTGAGAGTGACAAATTGCAGCTTGAAGATGGGAGAGAGCAGGTCCCTGTGTGGAGAAACTACCCCAGAGGGCATAAACTAAACAGATGTAAGGGCATTTATTCTAATAGTACTATTTTAGTAAGAGCCTTCAATAAACCAGCTACAGGCCTACTGCAGGATGTCCTCCAGGGCAGTGCACAAATCAGAGACAATCTGCAGAGGTTTAGCTCCAGTTTGCTGCAGAAAATGAGAGCAGGTTGTCCTAATGGGAAACAAACAACACAGAAAACCATCTTCTGCCAACTGTGGGTTTTGTGGTGTTTTTCACAGGTGATGGCCGCACTGTTCTTCCCTGTGCAGCTGCTGGCAGTGGCTGTCACTGTTTACCTAGAGCTGGTGAGGTCTGCTCAAGGAGGTGCCTACTATGGGATCAAGCAGCTGCCACCTCAGGTGCCCCAGTACCAACCTCTTGGACAACAAGTACCTCACATGCCACTGGGCAAAGAAGGCATCCCGATGCAGCACATGGGCAAGGAGATGCCCCACATGCAGTATGGAAAAGAATACCCCCACCTGCCTCAGTACATGAAGGAGGTCCCGCAGATGCCCCTGCTCGGCAAGGATATGGCTCCCAAGAAAGAGAAAGGTAGGCTTAGCATGTTCGTCACCACCCCTTGCATGGTCCAGCCTGGTGCACCAGAGCACTGTTTGCCCGGGTGGGACTGAACATTGGAGCAGGCTGTGCAGGCTAGGCACTGCACTCTTGTGCCCAAAGGACTGGCCAGGTTTGTATCTGGCCACAGGTGGACATAAAACAGGTTTGCAGGAGCTGTGGGACAGCTCAGGGTCACCAGCACAAGGCCACAACCATCATCCAGGCTGCAGCACAGCCTCTGTGCAGCCCTACCTCTGATGAGCCTCCAGCAACTAGGACTAGCCCCAGGTTTGATTTGGTGCTTGTTCAAGGCCAGGACAAACTTTGTAATCTTACCTGCCTGCAGAAGACCCTCTGATGGGGCTTTAAATGATGACCCAGGTAGACAAGTCAGGGTCTTGCCTGGAACTGCTCCTACTCTCACTGGAACAACCAGACCTAAGAGCCCAAAAGTATGAATTTACAGGAATATCAATGTTTTGTCTGAATTTGGGCAGACCCTGTGATTTAGAGGTTTGCAGATAAAAACATACAATTGCTCTTCTGACTCTGGAGTGCTCTTTCTGTAGGTTATTTATGGGTGTAAGAGGCACTGAAAGTACAGAGGATTACTGCATGAGTCTGCACATAAAAGCACTTTCCGTATTTAGTAAAAGAAGTTTGGACAATATTAAGATACTTAAGAAAACAACATGAAATTCAAAAGTACAAAGGGAAACCAGGAACATGCAGTGTCAAAATCCATGTAAGGACAGCCAGCATCTGTGAGACTTCAGACAAGCTGATTAACTCTCTGTCTTACTGATGCTTCAGCTAACCACAGCCTGCACTGGCTTCAGAGAAAAACGGAAGATTTCAGGGCCTGTTTTTAGATTGCCTGAACAAGCACCACTGGCTGTAGTAAAATCAACCCACCACATGAGCAAAGATCTTCTATGTGCATAAAACACAACACGTGCAGAGAGGGAGGGCTTCTGCCTCCCAAAGCACAGTTAATTCTCTTGTCCTGAAATCCCATCTCTCACCTTCCTTCAAACCTCTCAATTCTTTAGCCATTTTACAGCTGGAGAGACTTCCCATGTAACACAAAAAGCCTAGAGCAACCGAACCCAGCACAACCACCCCCATGAAACAACACCCTCACCCTGACCTACAGTGCTAAGTGGTGACATACACAAAAACGTGGGTTTGGGCAGTTAAAACATTGTTTAGAAGTGCCATGAGTAGATATGGTTATGCCAAAATAGCAATGCTGGGTAAGGCTGTAGGGTCCCAGTAATACTTCAATGGGAACCAAAGCCTTGGTAAAAATGCAGACATACCTATGCACAAACTTCTTACTGAGAGAATCTTTGAAAACTGATCTTGCTTGTGTAAGCCCCTTCAGCAAAATCACTTTTATGTCAGGACTCCTCCTACAGTATGAGAGCACTGAGCAGCCTCTGTGTCTTGCAAAAACTCTCACAGGTGGATTAACCTAGAGCAGCATGGGACAAAATGCAAATTTCACCATTTAAGATTGTATTGGTGGTAAACGCTAAGAAAGAACAAAAGGCTTTTACATGTGATACAAAAGAATTATTTTATGGAAATGGAAGCATATATGGAAGTTTGGGGTATGCAAAAGAGCAGGAGCATCCTCTTCGCTCCCGGCACCAACCTGTAACTCACTCGCCGGCTCTGCCCACCACAAAACCACAAGACGTGACAACAAGCACATTCAATTCAAAACAGCCTGTGTGTTTTTCAGAGGATGTGACTACAATCACTCTCTCCCTTTCCTTTTTCTTTTCTTCCCAACCCAGAAATGCCCATGCGTGCTCTGAGGGGTGAGCAAGGTCCCCCCGGTGAGCCTGGACCAAGAGGACCTCCAGGGCCACCAGGATTACCAGGTCATGGTGTGCCAGGAGCCAAAGGAAAGCCAGGCCCACAAGGATACCCGGGAATTGGAAAGCCTGGTTTGCCAGGGATGCCAGGAAAACCAGGGGTCATGGGGCCCCCAGGGCCGAGAGGAGAGATGGGGCCAAAGGGGGAGATCGGGCCCATGGGGATACCTGGGCCACAAGGACCACCAGGGCCTCACGGGCTTCCCGGGATAGGGAAAGCAGGTGCTCCAGGGCTGCAGGGACAGCCAGGGCCAAAGGGTGAGCCTGGGATGAAGGGGCCACCGGGAATCCCCGGGATCCCGGGGCCCAAAGGGGAGAAGGGTGTTGGGATCCCAGGTTT